CATCAATCTAATGGCAATCAAAACAGAAAGGCTTTCCTCGGGCAAGCATCAACCCTCTGTAACCGGTGCTCAGGACAAACTGCCTCCCAGTCACCTTGCCAAGGGCAAGGGAGGTTTGCTGAGGAGTCCACTGCTGTTATGGAAACTTAACTCTTCCCCAGTTGGTCCAGAAGTCTGAGTAGTTGGGACGTTTTCTGCTACAAAGGCTCTTACTCCAAGAGAAAGTACTCCATGTGAAAAAGCTACATTAAAAAGGGAAAAAAATGACAATTTTATTGCCAAATTACAAGCTCACTGAGAGGTAAACGAGCTGTATTTAGTGAGCTGCTCCATTCAAGGCAGAATTTCCCTTGTTTACAGTTAAGATGAAGGATAGGGGAAAAAAGAGAAAATAGCAGTCTACTGCCAATGTACAAGTGGGAAAGGCTCAGAAGCAACGGGGAAAATATCACAATGGGTCTTCTACAAAGAAGCCTCCATTTGGAATAGCTACAACCAGGAGGCACCATGAAGATGCCAGTTGTAACAGAGCTTATTTGCAAATAAAATTCACCACAGAACCAAAAGTAAAATTAAAAAAAAAAAAAAAGTTGAACAGATTCCTGCAGTGTTAGAAGTGTGAGGTAAGGTATCTGTTCACCTCAGCCACAAAGCACAGCTTCAGAGACCAGGCCAAAAGGCCTTTTGTTATTGCGCTAGGATACTACAAAGAACAAATATTCCACCTGGCTTCAAAAGAAATCGGAAACTTTCTATTTTGCACCGCTAACAAAATATTTTTCAGGAACAGATTGTAGTAGCATTGACTTTGCACCCTACTTAAGTGTACACTATCCCAACCTGCCCTACAACAGTGTGTAGCCAGTTTGAGAGAAGTATTAACCCTAGAGCCTAGTTTCTATCTCAGTGCTCAGCTTCACCTAGCGGGATGCAGCACAGAGGTTACTGTCTACAGTATGTATAGAGAGAGAGATATATATATCACCACCCAGAAACACACACACACACGCATTCGTACCTATAAAACTAAAGGAAAATCAGTACATACAATGTATAAAACGTATGAGTGTGCTCAAAAACGCACAAAACCCGCTTTATTTTCATACTTCAGAAATGCTCGATAATTTGTACGCATGGTTCTGACTACTGCTACCCATCCACTTCATTAGACCAGGGCTTGGAACTCAGAGGAGGAGGAGACGGTAGGAGATCCCACGGGGTGGAGAAGTGCTCCTCTCGTTTCGTACCGGTGCTGCTGGAGCCAGTCAAAGCGGAGCGCGGGACGCGGGCGTGGAGCGGCTTCCCGGCAGTGCTTCCTCCCACCCGTGTGCCAGCAGCGCACCCGGGGCTGTGATTCACGCTCTCCGACGGAGTCG